ACTAGCATGTCCTATCCCATTTTTGCGGGATAAAGGCGAGGTAGGCTTACATGTTTTGTCATTCCTACTATTTTTATCAAACTTCATGCTAGAGGCGGAACCAGCGAGTCAACACGGACCACGCACCCCAAACACAAAAATAAAATTATATATATATATATATATATATATATATATACCAGTCCATTATAATATGGCGGGATGGGTTGGTGTTTTCAACCCACCGGTCCGCTCGGGCCCGTCTTGCCACGCCAACCCGCAATCCTCCTAATTAATAAAAGTATAATCTTTTTATTGTAATACAGTTAATATAAAGTTAAAAATTGTAAAAAGAGAATTAAAAATGTTTCACTCTCACTCATTATAGCAAATATTTCTCTCCTCTTGTTGCTCATCATCACCTCTTGTTCATCCTAAGCACGAATCGTTCTTATTCTTATGACTTGAATTAAAGAGTGTAAGAATTACTCAAGAAAATAACAACGTGAAGTTTTATCAAATGAAAGAGAGGTATTTGAATTTTTCAATATAAAAAATATAAATTTTACTAGTTTTAACGTTATTTTTATATATTTGTTATTATTTATTATTATATAAATTTTATTATTATTCTAAATTATAATTTTTAAAATAATATTTTGATTTATATTATTAATTTGAAATATATATGTTTAATTATTGACAAATAAATGATAATCTTATTATTAAATTTATTCAAAATTTTGATTTTAAAAAAATAAATTATTTTTTTTAATTATACCGGACCAGACCTACCAACCCATCCTTTCGTGGGATGAACTCGACCCGTTTTATCATCCCCATATATACATATAATAATAATAATAATAATAATAATAATAATAATAATAATAATAATAATAATAATTTTTTAAATTAAATAAAAATTATTTGATAAATATAAATAAATTTTAATTTTTTTATCTTTTCTTCTCTTAATTTTTTATAATAAATATAATATTTTTTTCACAATTTTTCGCTTACACTTTTTTCTTTTTTTTCCTTCTATTTTTATATGTTTATCTTTCTTCTCTCACCTCTTCATTTTTCCACCAACTTTTTTTATGAGATACCCATTGTTTTTTTTCGCACTTCTATCTTTTATTTTTATCACTCATTCACTTTCATATTTTTCTCTTTCACATTTTCACCTTAGAACATAAAAATTATAAGTTTTTCTCTTTATTATTCTTATTTTTATGTCTTTGATTTTTATAGGACAAAGAAAAGATGTTTCAAAATTTCTATGATTAGTTTATTATCATCAGACAAGTATTCAACTCAGGATTTAAACTTAATCGGGATAGATCATGACTGAGAAACGAGGAAAATGATTGAGGTAGTGGAAAAAACCTTTAAAGGGCCATCCTTCTAACATTTTACTTGGAAAAATCAAGTTTTAATTTTTTAAATGATTAACTGTATACTAAAAAAAGGTTACTGTATTTAGAATCATTCAAAGATACTCAACCTATCTCATCATCATATTTCAATTGATAAAAATACATGAAAGAATTTATGGAAGGATGGACTTGCAAGAAGTGACACAATTTGAAAGACTTAAAAAGTTAAAATATTGGGATGTAGTTGACTTGGTGCCACCTAAAGCATAAATAACATTTGACACTCAAACTCTCAAAAAGGAAAAAAAATTGTCTAAATCTTTAAACAAATATTTACATAAAATGGTGAAGTCATCACCATTTATGCGAGGTTTCATACAAACTCTGTCCTTGATCGAGCATGGCTCGATTGTGATAAGATCAACATATGTAGGTTCACAAATATCAAAATCTCAGCATAACTCCTCAATGAAAGAGGTTAAGGTAAACACAAGAATAATGGTGAACCTCTTGATTATCTAATAGTTCACATATATCAAAATCTCAGTAGAACTACTTGATAAAAGAGGTCAAGGTATACTTGAAAGAATAATGACGAACCTTGTTGAGTACCTAATAGTGCTCCAAGTCAAGAACAAAGGAAAACTTGAAATTTCGACACGTTGCGAGATTTGGAAACCTTATGATTTTGTGAAGATTGGGTGATATGGATCACAAGGGTTGATTTTAGGATCTTTAGGGTTAAAACCTTGTAAGAAATTTAGGAATTTAGTGATAAGGTGGAAGGAAAGAATCACTCTTTCTAAGGAAGACAACTCACAAAGGATGTGAAAGTCCTTTGATACAACCAAGTGTTCTTGAATCACTCAAGAACTTAGGAGAATCACTCTCACTAAGATAAAAGAAATAAACTCTATTATTTCTAAAAATAAAACTCAACTTGTTATTTCTGATAAAAATGGTTCAGCTTATAAAGAAGTTTTGCCATCAGAGTTACAAAGATTTACTAAAGGAAAATAAATGCTAATAATGATTTATTAACCTAGGAATTGAAAACTACTTAATCGCTTATTATTACTGAAATTGTGGCAATCAAAAGTCAATCAGCTATGCACCCTCTTGGTCTCCTAAAGACTGATAACTAAATTTTCAATTGGACCCTTATTACAACTTGCAATAAAACCAAACTAAAGTCCATTAATTGACTAATTCAAAACACAATTTGGTCAACCAAAAATACTTGTTGAAGAGCTTCATTTGCTTCCCTTGCTCTAGCCCTTGTCATAGGTCATGTTCACATCATTATCTCCCTCTTGAAAAGGATTTATCCTCAAATCGGATTCGTCATCTACATAAAAAAGAGATAAGTCTGACAAATTGAATGTAGAACTAACATTATACTCACTTTTTATGGCTAAATAGCTCTCCCTCACTTCAAGTGTTTCACTCTTCTTCTTTTTTTCTCTCTTTTATTGAAGAAATTTTTCTCTGATTTTCTTTTTATCCTCATCTGCCATCAATTTGATGTTCAAACCTTTTAACCGGGGCTCTGAATACCAACAACTAATATGAATCACAAGGGGTGATTTAGGATCTTTAGGGTTAGAATCTTGTGTGAAATTTAGGAATTTAGTGATAAGGTGGAAGGAAAGAATCACTCTTTCCAAGGAAGGAAACTCACAAAGGATGTGAAAGTCCTTTGATACATCTAAGTGTTCTTGAATCTCTCAAGAACTTAGGAGAATCACTCTCACTAAGATAAAAGAGATAAACTCTATTATTTCTAAAAATAAAACTCAACTTGTTATTTCTGATAAAATTGGTTTAGCTTATAAAGAAGTTTTGCCATTAGAGTTACAAAGATTCACTAAAGAAAAATAAATACTAATAATGATTTATTAACCTAAGAATTGAAAACTACTTAATGGCTGATTATAACTGAAATTGTGGCAACCAAAAGTCAATCGGTTATGCACCATCTTGGTCTCCCAAAGAATGATAACTAAATTTCCAATTAGACCCTTATTACAACTTGCAACAAAACTAAACTAAAGCCCATTAATTGACTAATTCAAAAAACAATTTGGTCAACCAACAATACTTATTGAAGAACTTCATTTGCTTCCCTTGCTCTAGCCCTTGTCATAGGTCATGTTCACATCATTCTCTCCCTCTTGAAAATGATTTGTCCTCAAATCAGATTCATCATCTACATAAAAAAGAGATAAGTCTAACAAATTGAATGTAGAACTAACATTCTACTCACTTTTTATGGCTAAATAGTTCTCCCTCACTTCAAGTGTTTCACTCTTCTTCTTTTTTTCTCTCATGTTCTTTTTATCCTCCTCTGCCATCAATTTGATGTTCAAACCTTTAAACTGGGGCTCTGAATACCAACTGATATGAATCACAAGGGGTGATTTAGGATCTTTAGGGTTAGAACCTTATAAGAAATTTAGGAATTTAGTGATAAGGTGGAAGGAAAGAATCACTCTTTCTAAGGAAGGCAACTCACAAAGGATGTGAAAGTCCTTTGATACAACCAAGTGTTCTTGAATCACTCAAGAATTTAGGAGAATCACTCTCATTAAGATAAAAGAGATAAACTCTAATATTTCTAAAAGTAAAACTCAACTTGTTATTTCTGATAAAAATGGTTCAGCTTATAAAGAAGTTTTGTCATCCGAGTTACAAAGATTCACTAAAGGAAAATAAATGCTAATAATGATTTATTAACATAGGAATTGAAAACTACTTAATCGCTTATTGTAACTGAAATTGTGACAACCAAAAATCAATCAGCTATGCACCCTCTTGGTCTCCCAAAGACTGATAACTAAATTTCTAATTTGACCCTTATTACAACTTGCAATAAAACCAAACTAAAGCCCATTAATTGACTAATTCAAAACACAATTTGGTCAACCAACAATACTTGTTGAAGAGCTTCATTTGCTTCCCTTACTCTAGTCCTTGTCATAGGTCATGTTCACATCATTAAGGTAAACTCAATGAAAGAGGTTAAGGTAAACTCAAGAATAATGGTGAACCTCTTAATTATCTAATAGTTCATATATATAAAAATCTCAGTAGAACTACTTGATGAAAGAAGTCAAGGTATACTTGAAAGAATAATGATGAACCTTGTTGAGTACCTAATAGTGGTCCAAGTCAAGAACAAAGGAAAAGTTGAAATTTTGACACGTTGCGAGATTTGGAAACCTTATGCTTTTGTGAAGACTGGGTGATAATGGTGACTAGAGGAACAAGTTCCACCACCAATAAAGTCTTTACAAAAATAATTTTCATAGGGTCACTTTTATCAAATTTAATGCTTTTATCGTCGGAAAAGTTGTCTTCGATAAAATAAACCTCCCTTTACAACAAGGGGTTAACATTACGAGACGACGAATCAATAGAAATAGACGATAAAGGTATTTAAACAAAAATCAAGAGGAAAGAACAAGGAGATACCTTAGTAGTAATTTCAAACTAGAACAATTGAAGTAAAGGGAAGGTGATGAAGAGAAAGAGACGAAAGGACTATATATGAATGAAAAAGAGAATGATAAGAGAAAAGGAGAAGAAATTGATTTGTTGAAATAAAGTAACTTTTCTTTAGATAAAACTTATAATAACTTCTAACTGCTTATCAAAAATAGAATAATAAATGTTTTATTTTTTTTAATCAATGTGTCATTTAAAAAAGGTGACAATAATTAATGATAAAAAAGAGAGTAGGGAATACTAATCTAATAAACCAATATACTATTTCTAAGATACAAGGACCATTTATTATACTATTCCCAAGATATTATAGGGTTTAAATACTTTTATATATAAGGGACAATATTCCAACAAATTGGATTGTAATTTTTGATGAAAAAGTAAAAATCTTGGAAATTTTGAAGATTTGATGAAGTCAAAAGAAGTCATGAAATATGAGATGTATTGTTAAGTCCATTAGTGGGTCTGCATCTTATTGAGTAGGTATATTCATCTATCCATTTTTATAACATGATTTTCTATCATTTACAAAAGTATAAAGTGCCTCATATCTTTTTAATCTGCTAAAAATCATTTTAATCGATTAGTATGTTCTTAAGTCTCGGTTTTAACTGATAAGTTTTCGAAATAATTAATTAAAATCACTTAATGACATTGAAAACACCTTCTATCACATTTTTAACCGATACATTTTCGAAATAATCGATTAAAATCACTTAAACAAGTGAAAAAGTTTTCTCATGGCGTTTTAATCGATATATCTTCAAATTAATCGATTAATTTCACTTAAGAAGTTTTGAAAAACCTTTTGTCAAGTATTTTAACCGATATATCTTCGAATTAATCAATTAAAATTACTTAAGAAGTTTTGGAAAACCTTCTGTCAATATTTTAATTGATATATCTTCAAATTAATCGATTAAAAACACTTAAGAAGTTTTAGAAAACTTATTGTCGAATTTTAATCGATATAACTTTGAATTAATCGATTAAAAATACTTAAGCAATTTTGTATCAATGTTTTAATTTATTAAAACTCATTTTTATCAGTTAAAACGCCTTTGAAATATTTTCAAAGATATTTTAATCGGTTAAATCGCATTTTTATCAGTTACAACTTCTGAGAAAAAAATTGTAGAACCTTTTAATCGATTAAAAGAAATTTTCATCAATTAAATTCATTTAAACTAAGTTGTTTTAATTGATTAAAGAGCGAATTAATTAATTAATTGAATCAATTAGTTAAAAAATATCTATATAAACTTATTTTCTTCAACATTTCAAAACATATCTTTTTGAGAAATCATTCAAACAACCTTTAGAGATCCTTATCACGAGAGAAACGCGCTATTTCCATAGGAATTCCTTATAAAACTTTCTTAAGGCTCTTTGTTCTTGGTTTTTCAAGAAACTCATTATGTAGTTGGATTCTTGTATCTACATACTTGGTTTGGTTGTTTTAGTTTCTTCTATTCTTTCAAATTTTTGTCGATTCTTTGTATTCTTAGTGTCTAGAAGTGTGGACACTGGTTTAACAATTGGAATTTTGTTGCAGTCAAGGTTCAAAGATCTGGGTCTAAGTTTTTGATGGAGATTCTATGTTTGCAATATGTTATTGTAATCAAACAAATTTTGATTAGTAAAATTTAATTGGAATTTGGTTGAGAACTATATGTAGTCTAGTGGTTTGGGTGAACCAATATAAATTGTGGTGTTCTTATCATTCTTTTATCTCTGTGTTTCATTCTGCTTGATAATTCTTGGTTCAATATTTGATCAGATCTTTAAATATTTGAAAATTATAATGTGTATCTGAAAGTTGTAAAAAGTTTTGTATAGATCAATTTAACTCCCTCTTGATCTCAGCTTATAATATTAACAATCTTCATGTTTATCTATGAAAATATATTTTTGATTTACTCATGAATTAGAATATTATTCTTATTAAATATTATTAATTTAAGTATTGAGGAACATTTAGGGGATTTTATCCTTTGTATTATTAAGAAAGGATTTTCCTATTTTAAAAATAAAAGCTAAAAACATATTTTTAATTTTTATAGTTTAATTTTTAAAATTTTTAAATTTTTAATGAATAAGATGATTTTTTTTAAAATAATCAGATTTTAAAATAATAGTAAAAATAATAATGAATAAGGATAGTAAAATGAGCTAGGTTTGATCGGGTTTGCCCCCTTAAAAAATAGGGGGTGATTTGGTGATTTTAGCTCGTTTTGTCCCACCCTACCTAACTTGTCGTCTCAATGGGTTAAGGGCGGGACGAGTAGGTTGACTTGTTTTAAAAATATATTTATATATCAAAATAAAAATAAAAATGATAATAAATAAAAGTATTATATTTTTTATGTATGTTATTGAATTATTTAAATATATTATAATATTATAATTTAAATTATAAAAATTATTCAATTAAGTTTAAATTATTAATTATAATTAGTTCTTTTAATATAAAAATATAATATATTTTTTAATTTATCTAATAAAAATACTAATTAATAAATGAAAAATTTATAAATTATTCATATAATTAAAGATATATTTAAAAAAAATACATACAAAAAGTTTTATATATAAAAAAAATTATTGGAGAACTGGTCTATCATTGCACTCTTTAACAGGCCAAACTATGGTATGTAACCCGTCCTAGTTATGATGGATCAACCCACCCTACCTCATTTTTAACATACTAAAGACGAGCAAGTTAAAATAGAATATGTCCCATTTTTGCCCTATTCGTATTGTTATGTCGCTTCACTGATTAATTTTAAAAATTAAATAAAAATTACTTTTTAAATATAAATAAAATATAATTTTTTTTATCTCTCATCTTTTCACTTAATATATATATATATATATATATATATATATATATATATATATATATATATATATATATATATATATATCTCTTTTACAATTTCTCATTTACATATTTTTTACTCCTTTCTTTTTATATTCATATTTTTATATTTTTCTCAATCACCTTTTCACTTTTCACTCCGACTCTTTATATATCACTCTCTTTATTTTTATATTTATACATTTTTTTTACTCAATTTTATTTTCTTCTCATTTCACACTAAGTGTTTTTTTTTTAGCTTTTTAAAATCTTCTCTTTTACATTTTCATTTTTATATGATAAAAATTGTAATTTTTTTTCTTCAATTCAAATTAGAGATATTTTCACGTTGAAAAAAAGCAATAAGTTAAAAATATAAAAGAAATACCTTATCACATTTTTCTTGAAGTTAAAAAAACACTAAAATTTTTTATTTTCTTTATTATTTTTATTCATTATTACACCAAATTAATATATGTAGTATAACATAAATATACAAAGTAATGATATAATTTTTATTTATTATAATTAATTAGTTAATTATTTTAATATTTTATTATATTTTATTTTGATTTTAATTTTTTTTTAAATAAAAAGTCAAGTTTGACTTTTAGATGTGTTTAAAAAATAATTTTAGACTCGTTTTAAAAATCAAAATGAAACAAATCTTAATTTAACAAATTTAAATTCAACAAAAATACAACTAATTTTTTATATTAAACATTAATTTAGATTCTAGAAAATTTTTAATACTTGTGAATATTACATAATTTGATTCGATATTAATAACTTTTATTATATAAAATATTATTGAATATAATTAAATTTCATATTATATATATATATATATATTTATAATTTTATATAACAAATAATTTTTATATATTTTTCTTGATTTAAAATTGCTGACATTTTTTTTAAATTTTAGTGTTCCTCCCTATATAATAAACCTGTTTTGAAAAAGTACCGCATTGACAGATTCAACTGAATTAAAAACTGATTCGTTATCTATAAATAATTGGACCTTCTGGACAAAGCTGATAAAATTGAAAAACTAGTAAAAAACAGATTTTGATAAAAAAAAGAAGAAGATAAGAATCAATTTTCTTTTATGAAAATATTATATATTTTAGTTTTTTTTTTATCTTATATTAACTACCTCAATTTTAAATAATAATAATTTTATTATATTTTATTTTATTTTATTTTAATAATTATTCATCTATATTCTTTAATATATTTTATATTTATAATTTTCATTATAATATAATCTTGATATATTTATATTTATAATTTTTATTATAATATAATCTTTATATATTTTATATTTCTAATTTTCATTGTAATCTTTATTATTTTTATTTATTTTTTTAATATTTGAACCTCTTTGAATCATGTCTTTATCTGTTTAGTCACCGGAAGAATCTAAAAACATTAAACCACACTTTGCCCTTCATTGTCTTCCTCCTCTCCTACGACACCTCACTCCACCTGCATGGGGCTCACTTACTGTGTGAAGTCGAAGCATGCGGTGAAGGCGCTGGTGCATAGTGCGAGTGCTTAGCTAGGGCAATAAGTTAAGGTGAACTGTGTCTCCCAGAGTGGATTAGCCACACCATTGATGTATGAAATCGAAGTGTTGCAAGTATGCACAAAGCTTCAGGTTTAAAGGTGTCATTTTGAGCCCCGAATTTGTTGCGAATGGTGCTGTTTCTTGCCCGCGATGAGTCTGAGTTTGTACCCGGACACGATCTTGTGGAGGGGAGAGGACTGAAGGAATCGAGGTGTAGTTGAAGAGAAGAGAAAAATTACGGAGGAATATTTTATTTTTTTTAATTATAGAGGCAGTTAATATGTTATTTTGTGATGATTTTAAGCTGACAACTTGTTTTATTATTAACGGAGTTGACTTTTAAATTATTTTTTAAAATTATTTTAAAAATATAAAATCAATTTTAAAATAATGAAATGTTAAAAAATATATATAACTAATAAAAATTTAATATTATAATAATAGTATCTCACTCGTATATTTTGAGTTATACTTAATTGTTTGAAATGATGGTGACAAATATAAAGATGGTTGTTTTAAATGATACAAATTATCATTTATGAAAAGATACAATAATAATATCAGAACCGAAAGTTGATCGATAGTTTAAGAATGATCTTTATATCGAAAATGTTTCTAATAGTAAATTAGATAAGTATGTCCTTTAACGATGAATGATGATATATTTAACTTTCTAGTGAATCTTATCAGAAAACCAAACAATACAAGTCCAAAAGCTTTAATAAAAATTGCTAAGTCCAAAAGCATTAACCTATATTTGTTTTAAGAAATTTACCATTCATGCGGATGAAAAAGCGACCATAATACACATTTGTTTCGAGTAATTTGAGAAGATTTGCTAATATTGAGTTAAGGGAGAGTGTAATAAAAGTGTTGCTGCTTGAATGAAGAGACTAGCCAAAAAATACACCTCATTAATGTGTATTTATGTTTTTACCTCTTTCCATCTTCACCTGAAACAACTTTTGCATGAAGGGAATAGTTGCAAAGAATTAATTATTTCCGAGTTTACAATCAATTCTAGCTCATTTTTAACGTAGGGAAAACGGTTCTCAACAAATTAATAATAATCTATTATTATTTATGAATGAGAATCAATTTTTGTTACTGTAATTCGTATAGTTTTCATTCTCTCCATAACTAAAATCGATTATAAATTGTGTGGATAGTTATATAAAATTAATTCTCAATACTCACAAAATCGATTCTCTCTCATATTAATTCAACAAGGATCGATTCTCAGTTCCGTATGATACATGAAAATCGATTTATTCATTGTAAAATAATCAATTTTCTATATTATTATTAAAGGTGAGAATCGATTTTATTATTATTATTATTATTATTAAATCGATTTGATTAATAATAATAATTATTATTATTATAATAAAAATATAAATAATAATTATTATATTAATAATTATTTTAATAATCAATTAATAATAATAATAATTATTATAATAATTATATTAATAATTAAAATAAAAATAATTTATATTATTATAATATTTTAAATAATAATAATATTTATAATAATAAATATATAAATAATTATTATTATGTTAATATTAATAATTATTTTAATAAAATACTTATAATAATAATTAAAATAAAAATAATTTAAATAATTAATAATAATAAATTTATTTAACAAATAATTTGACCCTTTTATATATTTCTTAATCTAAATAATCTTTCATCTCTCCTTCTCTTCAAATTTATTATTTTCCATTCCGCAAATCAATCCTCTAATAAAATCACGAACTTAGTAAAAATGAGATCCTTCCATAAATTTGTGATAGGATCTTTGCTCCCCGACACATGAGGTCACATCAATTTCTTGTAGTTGTAGCTAGCTAAGCTAACAAGATTCGTGGTTTTTTAGCATACAGATTCACTTACATATTTCATGAAATAAGGACAAAAAATACGGACGCACCAATCTAATTGGCAACCAATTTCGGGGATAATAATGCCACTCACGCCAAGTACCATCGCTGGCTGGCTGGCTGGCATCGTGATCGGTGATCGGTGATCGGTGACAGTGACTGCATCTAAGGAAATTATCCGATGAAACGTCAAAGAGATGATAGTGACACACAAGTCTTTATTTCGAATAATCTAGTTCATTTTTTATTTTCTTTTAAAGAGAAATTATGAATTTAAATAATAAATAAAATATATATCTTAATAAAAAGTATCATATACAAACTTACAACCGAATCGTAATAATGAATTAAAAAATATAAAAATTGAAAACAAGAGTTAAAGGTTGACACTTAAAAGAAAAAGTATTCAAATAGTTTAAAGTTTTTTAAATCAATAAACTAGATAATGCTGATTAATGACAGTTAATATTTGATTATTTGAATTACCCCAATAAAATTATTAATAGGAAACCAAGAATTATGTTGTTTTCAACACTGAATTATATAAAAGAGATATGATGGATACTACTCCCATGTTTAGGAAAAAATAAGTCATATCTAGCTATGATGGAAATTGAGAAAATAAAATGGGTATTATATCGACAATGATATTATTGTTTGATTTTAAAAAATTATATTGAATATGTTAAGTTTTGTGAAAAATATTAAAAATTTGAACCAATTTAAAATACACTAACTAAAGAGTTGCATTCGATAGTTGGATCTCGACCTTCTAGGGGTGGATAATAGAAAAATTGAGATGAAACATTTCAAGTATTATGAATTTATAAAAATTCTCCAAAAAAATTTATAAAAACAACTCCATACAAATTGATTTATGTCCATGATGCATTATTGCCTGTTAACATGCAATCAATTCATATTCAAGGACAAAATGAAATGCCTAGATTAGATTATTGAGATATGATGTTTGTTGAGACGAATAAATTAGGCGAAATTAGGATAAATGCTCTAAAACAAATATTATATAAAAAATTGAATTGCTAGATCTTATAACAAGCGAACAAGAAACAAATACTTTAAAAAAAAGGTGATGTTGTGTAGAAGATTATTTTGTCAATAGATAAAAGATAGAAACATTTTGAAAAATGGTTACTAAATTGGGAAAGACCTTTTAATGTTCTTAAAAGTCTTATAAAATAACATTTATCATATTGTTAATTTTTATGATTGACAGTCACATTTATCGATTAACGGAAAATATTTAAAGGTGTCAAAATTATATTATATATAATTTTGAGCAAATAAAAAAATCAAAATAGATTGGAGTGAAACAAATATAATATAATCCTTCAACAAAATACACAAAGTTTATACATTGTGCTCCAAGATTAAATTTTATTATAATATTGTAAAGAAAATTATGAAAGGTCTAAATAAATTTGATTCCATCTAGTTATTATTTTGGTTTAAGTTGGTTAATTCATGATTAAACATTGTTATAATTGATACTTAAATTTAAAAATTGATTAGGTTATCCTTTCAATGAGATTTAAGATATGAGTTTTAAATTTGCTAACAAAACAATAACTTGTAATGAAATTTAATTTATATATATATATATATATATATATATATATATATATATATATACTCAAATTAAAAATTATAATAGTTTTTTATAGTTTAATACAAAATTATAAATTTAAACAACAATGTTTTTTTTTTAAATAGCCTCAATACTTTTTGTTTTAAATAGAAAAGTAGTAATATTTTGATAAAAAATTGTAATATGATCATTTATACTTATATAGAATTTATAAAATTTATATTTTACTGAATTATAAAATGCCAATTACTTTTTTTTAATAATTTTACATGCATATTTTATAAATTACCATATATTTGTTGTGCTGTTTTAAAAATTTATGATAATTTAGTAATTTTTTCTTATAGAAATAATTTTTTATGTTATGTTACTATAAAAGTAGTTAGGTTAGTGTAACCTAGTCATGTAAAAAATTTAATAATATAATTTTATTCATATTTTATGATAAATCATAATTGTTTTTGTTTAATTTGATTTTATATCAAGTTAACTTATTATTTTATGTTTAGTTAAAAATAAAAAAATAGTCACAATTAATCTATAATTATTAAAAAAAATTAAGATTTTGTAAAAAATTACTTTTTCAAATTCATAACTTGTTCATATTTAAGAAAGTCTTAATATATTATTATCCAAAAATTGATGATTTAATGTTTATCATAATGTAAAATAATATGATAGCAACAACATATACCTATAATCTTTCAAATAAGAAAGATGTTTGGAGTGAAACAATAATATTAAAAAAAACAATAAACAAAAAAATTTGTATTTAGAGTTTTATATTCTTTTTAAATTATAACAGATATACAAATAAAAAATAAAAATATATTGTTATATGAGTAAGCTCATTAGTCTTTAGTTCATCTTTTGATCTTATAGATTGTCGAGAAAAACTTATAAAACTTATTTATATTTAAGTCACTTCTTTTCAAAGTCCAATCCAATATTATTTACATATTACATGGGTACAAAAGTATAAAATATTAATATTAAATGTTAGAAAATAAATAATGGTTAGTAATAATATTTTATTTTAAATAAAATATGATATAATAATATAAATTAATTATTTATAATGTATTTTTATAATGTATTATAATTTTCAATTTTACACTGTTATAGAATATTATATTATTAAATATATCAAATAGCGTACATCATTTCTACTATTTCAATTGCACTAATAATATTTTTTTTAAAATATAGATTATTCTATTGCATTAAAATTACATAACCATTTATAAATAATAATTGTAATATGATACTATTTTATAAATTTATTAAAATATACAAAATTATTTTTTATTTTTTTAAAATCAGAATTAAATGAAAATAAGAAATTATTATATTTCTTCATCAGATAGTTATTTTAAAATTTGTTTAAATTAGGCCTTTTTGTTACAATGTTTTAAATTTAAAAATAGAATTTCCGTTTAACAATATAGTTTTCAAGACTAGCTTTTTGGATCATAGTGGCAGTTTAAAAGCTCTACTATTTTAAAATTATATATTATTTTAAAGTTAAATAAAATATAATAAAAACAATTGTAATCAAAACTTGTCACTAATTAGCTACTATTAAAAATCACCAAATTTGAAAAACTAATTAATGACATTAACTTCTGTTGGACAGAAATTTGATATTGAATGGACTAACTTAAATGCTTTATTAATGAAATGAAAATTTGAACCAAATAAAAAAAATATAGTAAACAAAATATTTTAATACTAAAATCATTTTGAAAATAAGTGGAATGAAATAACATGTATAGGTTACATGGTTACAGACATACAAGACTCTAAATTTATAAATCACATGGTTGAGTCCATATCACATTAAAAATTAAACTTTATAGGCTTATAAGTCCACATCCAATTAAAGATAATTTGGTATTTTAGGTGGGTTCAGCTAGTTATTAATTAAATGGAGGCAAATTTAGAGAAAAATTAATAGTTTGGTATGAGCTAGGTTATTGTTTAAAGTGAAATTCTTGTTCTGTCAAATGGGTTTGATAGTTTTTTTTTATGGTGGTATTTTACTCAATGTGGATTGGAAATAGTCTCTGGCTTCTTCAAATCCTTTTCTTAACAGCACGATTTGTACGAGGGATGCAACTTTGATCCATCTAATTCACGAGAGTATTACATTAGTTAACTTGTTTAGCTCATAGGTTAAAACATTTTTTTCTAAAAAATAACAAATGTAAAACTAGACACGCTAAGTTAAGAGGATAACATCCTATTTAATGTGGAAAAATAATAAAATAGTTTGACAATTTTTTTCATAAATACTTGTGAAAAAATAAGAAAGAAAAAAATGAAATCAGTTTCTTCATAACTAAAATATAACTAATGTGCAAAAAATAAAATTTAGATAAATTATATATATTTTTTATATAAGCTTATGCATAAAATACTCATTTTTTTTCTTATTTTTCTTCACTAGAAGTTCTTATGGAGAAATTTGTTGAATTATGACGTCTATTAACATCTTTAACTCTTACACTTGGTAGCAAAACTCTCAACAATTGAATTAATATATTGGTGAATAAGTTTGATTTGACTACCGGACACAACTAATAAATATATATTTTAGTTTTTTTTAATGGTGTAAGTCAACCAAGTCATGGTCACAACTATATATTATGGATATCTTGGTTTTTGGAAAAGCTTTTTCGAATACAATTTCATTCATATGATATGTTTCAATGATGTAGCAAGCCAAGAAGAACATGTTATTTCCTCATTATTAGGCCCACCAAAGGATTTCAACACTAGATGTGTTTTTAGCATTTTATATAAAATAAAATGCTAGTTAACGACGAGTAGATATACATATTGGAAATGAATTCACCAATTAGAAATCCCGCAAGAATTCACAAATCTTTTGATTAAAGGGAATCCAATAATATGTGAATAATGATCTCAACTTCAGCGGAGCATCTCCCACACAAGGTTTACAGTGCAAGCTGACAGAAAAACATGGACAACACAAGTAAAAAAAAGTTAATAAAAGATGACATATTTAATGATGGTTATACATGAATTATTGTTAAAAAGATAGATGATATTTTTGAAATTATTTTTAACTTTTAATAATAATTTATTTATAATTGTCATCATATGTTACATGACGGTTCTAATTATACTTATTATATTATTTATTATATTATTTGATATACGACAATAATTCATTTATAATTGTCATCACGTGATATACGAAAATGGTTATAAAAGAATTGTTATTATATCTCTAACTTTTTAACAACGGTAGTTGTATTTCACATAAAACGATAATTATAAAATAATTACTGTCATATGTCACATACATTGACTGTTATAATTATAAAATCATTATTATATATCTCGTTATATTTTTCCTCCGCGACCCTACCTCTCCTTTCTTCCTCTCTCTTTTCTTCTCCTCTTCTCCTTAAGATATTCTCCTGAATGGGTCATTCGCAGTGTCTAGCTAAAGTTATGGAAAGTTTACATCTTTTCCCTCTTTCTTTCGA